CATTTGTGCCACTATTCAGCAGGAAGAAACTCGTCGAAAGGTGATGAACCTGGAAATAAAGTATAATATACCCGAAACTAAGGCATGTGTGTCCACTTACAAAGTTCCTGATGGAAAAAACTACAAGGGTAAGAGACCAGACTTGAAGTGCACATATTGTGATGCTATTGATCATTCAAGGGAAAAATGTTGGGTTTTGCATCCAGAACTGAAACCAAAATTCTCAAAGGAAAGCAAGGGCCATTGGAAAAATTCACAAATTACTCATAAAGCAAATCATGCTACTGCTTCTAATGCTTTTAAAAATCAACTGAGGGTCAGGTGAATTTCACATCCAATCCAGCTGCCCTGATCAATGAATTTGTTGATTATCTTCAAAAACAAAACAAGAAATTGGAATGGTGATGGTAAACAAATGACCACTTCTGGACCTGAGAACTCTACTACCTTCTTAGTAAATTCACAGGATTTCTTGTTGAGACTGATGGTATATCATCCCATAACATTCCAGGTATTTTAGAGGCTTTCTCTACTGCTCTTCAAGTTAGTTTTGTGCATGATTATTGGATAATAGCCTCAGGTGCCACAGATCACATGTCTAGTCAAATGTCACATTTACATGAATTCGAAAAATTGTCCAAATAATCTCTCAAGTCTCAGTTGCTAATGGTAAAGGTGGCTCAGTTTTAGGGAAAGGGAAAATCAAGTTGATTTCAAAAAATGTAGATTCGGTTGCTCTTTTTGTTCCTTCCTTTCCCTATCATCTCTTATCTGTTGGAAAAATCACAAACTCTTTGAATTGTCTTGCCATTTTTTCACCTCATAATGTCATTTTCCAAGACATTGTCACCGGGAAGAAGATTGGTGACGACTTTTACCTAAATGGATTGTACTATTTATCAAAGGATCCCCAAATTTCCAAAGGTTTACAAGTTAGTTCCAGTCCTGCACAAGATCAAAGTCTTTGGCATCAACGTTTAGCTCATCCTTCCAATCTAGTGTTGTCTAAGTTGTTTCCATTTTTTTGTAAAACATCCACGACTTGTGACATTTGTCACTTGTCGAAATTTGATAGGTTGCCTTTTGGCACTTCTATGTCTAAGTCTAGCAAGCTGTTTGAAATTGTACACTCTGACATTTGGGATCCTGTTTTTGAATCTTTTGATGGATACAAATATTTTGTAACCTTTGTTGATGATTACTCAAGGATTACTTGGTTATATCTTTTAAAATTTAAGAGTGAATTGTTGAATGCGTTCAAGGATTTTCACCAACTAGTCACCACACTATTTTCAACCACCATTCAAATCTTAAGGTCTGATAATGGCACTGAGTATATGTCTAATAACATGTCACAATATTTGAGCTTGCATGGCATTATACACCAAACAAGTTGTGTTGGAACACCCTAACAAAATGGCATCGCAGAAAGAAAAAATCGGGATTTGCTTGAGAAAACTAGAGCACTAATGTTTCAAATGAACGTTCCCAAAAAGTTCTGGTCTCAAGATGTTCTCACTGTTGCATATTTGTGTTGGAACACCCTAACAAAATGGCATCGCAGAAAGAAAAAATTGGGATTTGCTTGAGAAAACTAGAGCACTGATGTTTCAAATGACCGTTCCTAAAAAGTTCTGGTCTCAAGATGTTCTCACTACTGTATATCTTATTAACCGATTGCCTAGTCATGTGCTAGATTTTAAATCTCCTTATGAAGTGATGAAGAATAGAAAAATTGATTTGTCCCACCTAAAAGTTTTTGGATGCATAGTTTATGTCCATATCCAAGCGTCAAATCATGATAAACTTGATCCTCGAGCTGTTAAATGTTTGTTTTTGGGGTACTCATCCACACAAAAGGGATATAAGTGCTACAATCCTATCAACAAGAGAGTTGTTACATCACGTGATGTTAGATTTGATGAGCGGACACCCTATTTCAGAAAATCTTTAGAAACTAGTGGTCAGGGGGAGCTTGTGCTTGACCCTCTTCCCTTGCCTACTTCTAACTTCAACCTTGACTATGTTAATTCAACTCCTTATCATGATGATCATGAAGTCACAAACTCCACTGTCATTCCTGAAGATAATTATTCTGAGCCGTCTAGCTCAGTGCCTAATGTGGATGTTTCACCATCTCCTCTTGTCCCAGAAAGAAGAAATCCTACTCGCGATAGACATCCTCCACAAAAGCTACATGATTATATCGCTTATCATACACGGTATCCAACAGCTAATTCACTTACATATCACAGGGTTTCTTCTTCTCATGCTATTTTCTGAGCAGAATCTCCAATGTCCAAGAACCAAGGAATTTTCAAGAGGCAAATCTATCGAGTGAATGGCGAAATGCTATGGCAGAAAAAATGCAAGCTTTGGATGCAAATAAAACATGGAGTATTGTTCCATTGCCTAAAGGAAAAAGGGCTGTTGGGAGTCGATGGATATATAAGACTAAGTTTCACTCAGATGGCACGGTTGAAAGGCACAAAGCTCGATTAGTTGCTCGTGGATTTACACAAACTTTTGGTGTTGACTATAAAGAAACCTTTGCTCCTGTAGCTAAAATGAATACTATGAGGGTTGTACTGTCTGTTGCTATTAATCATGCATGGCCTTTATACCAAATGGATGTTAAAAATGTCTTCTTGCATGGAGATCTCGAAGAGGAAGTTTACATGAAGCTTCCGCCTGGCCATCCTCAATCACACGATCCAAGTTTGGTTTGTAAGTTTCATTAATCAATTTATGGATTAAAACAATCTCCTCGAGCGTGGTATGCCAAACTTAGCTCCGTTCTTGAAATAGTTGGGTTCAAATACAGCAATTTTGATTCCTCTCTTTTTATTCGCATTGGATTAGTAGGCAAGTCGGTTGTCCTTATTTATGTGGATGATCTTATTATTACAAGTGATAATGTTGATGAAATTGAGGCTCTCAAATGTTCTCTTAGACAAAAATTTGCTATCAAAGATCTTGGTTTTCTGAAGTATTTTCTTGGCATTGAAATGGCTACTTCTTCCAAAGGAGTATTACTCAACCAAAGGAAATATACTCTCAATTTGCTCCAAGAAGCTGAAATGGAGGATTGCAAACCCTCTAGAATGCCTCTTGATAGCAAATTAACTCTGGAGATGGGCGGTGATCCTCTTGACAATGTAAGCTATTAACAACATCTAGTAGGTAAACTCATTTACCTCACTATAACTAGACCAGATATCACATTTGCTGTTAGCCTAGTAAGTCAATTCATGCATTCTCCAACTACTACTCATCTTCAAGTGGTTAAGCGTATTCTACGGAACCTTAAGGGTTCTATTGGTCGAGGCATTCTTATGAAGAACAACTCAAACACAAATCATTGGCTACACGGATGCAGACTAGGTCGGGAACTCTCTTGATCGAAAATCTACAACTGGTTTTTGTACATTTGTTGGAGGCAACTTGGTTACATGGAAAAGCAAGAAGCAAACCGTGATATCTCGTTCCAGTACAGAGGCTGAGTATAGGGCTATGGCTTCCACTGCATGTGAACTTATTTGGCTCAAGGGTCTCCTTTCTAATTTAGGGTTTCCCGATTCTCAACCAATAACTCTTGAGTGTGACAATCAGGCTACTATGCACATTGCCTCTAACCTCGTTTTTCATGAACAAACCAAACACATCGAAGTTGATTGCCATTACATTCGTGCTCAAGTTCAGTCCAAGGTGATTCAAATCCATTAAACTCGTAGCCAAGATCAACTGGCAGAACTTTTTACCAAAGCTCTGCCATTCACTCATTTTTAATGACTATTTTCAAGCTTGGCTCAATTAATCCCTTTGATCTAGCTTGAGGGGGAGTATTGGAAGTCAATGCCCAGGAGGAAGTCTGCTGCCTACCTTAAATTCAGGAGAGTTAATATCATTTCCATGCCCTGCAGGCTGTCTCTCCATTTCCAGTTGGCTGCAGGTAGATTTATTTGTTTAAGAGGAGATTGAGTGATTTGTACTCAATTTCCATAGGTTTTTTCTTCTATATATTGTTTTCATTGCTCACACAAATTATATATATACAATACAAATTTCTTCAATATATTAGCAATATTATAAGCATGATGTGCAGGGGCGGAGCCATCTGGGGTCTAGTGAAATTTTGGTTCTGGGTATTTCGATTTTGATGCAAGGAGAAATTATAAACAGACTCATCAAAAATTCAATATTGTCGAGAAAGATTACCATCAAGGAACAACAATTTTGGAGGGGGGGGAAGGAATCCAAGGACCTTTGAATGGCGATAAGGCTAAACAGGATCTTATGAGTGGATTGGTTCCTTTCCATGCAACTATTACTGGTAACGTGCTGAAATTATATCATTCACAGCAATCAAATAGCGCGCGAAAGTTCAATTGATTAAAGCATGTTTCTGCCCAATTAAATCGGATATTACCTTCCAATATTGGTGAAGACGACGACTTATCCTCGTAGAAAAGGCTGCAACAAATACAATTGGTGTCGAAAAATCTTCCTTTTTGAATGCAATAAAATAAAAATAATAAAAAAACACGTAATGCCGGTCAATTGCCCCCATTAAGTCCTTGTTTATCCAATTTTTTAAAATTCATTTTTCCTTAAATATATTTTTAAGCTTATTGAAATTCATAATTTTTACCAATCATTTAATTATATATAATGATTTTGTTCGAAAGGCCCTTCTTATTATCGAAATCTACTAAAATTATTTTTTATCAAAACTAAAAATGGTGCAAGGATTATGACTTATAACAGGCCTTCATTGGATTTGGAAATGCATGCACATTAGGATTATACCAATAAGATAAGCTTTCAATTGGGCAAATACATGGCTTATGAGCAAACAATTTTTTTTTTTTTGTATTTTTTACAATAAATTGTATAACACGATATGTTATTTTTTGTAAAATTATGTTACATACATTTGACCACCATATTTCCATCGACACCATTACTATCCCCCACGATGTTTCTGAAATCCTACGCTCTCAAACCAAATGTACTTTATACATAATACCACAGTTGGGACTACAAATATAGAATCTCAACATGTGCATTACAATTACAAGAATACAATAGGAGGTTCAATCCTTAAAAACTCCGGAAGCAGTAACCATTTTAGCTAAAAGCCTTACTCTGCATTTCATTAGGCATCCATTCCCTCTTTCATGGCAAGCAACATTCACTCTCAGTCTTGTATTGTTGCCTCTGTTCATGCTGATGTACAATAAAATATAGCAAAGGATATCAGAAACAACTTGTTCATTTATGCTTAATAATTTTGTAGCTGTAAATTATTCGTATATTTCTAGTAGATGCGATTGATGAGATATGTAATAGCATCATAGAAAGATCCTTTCTATGAAGCACTGATACTGACATGAAAATGGGCACATTCATGTGTAACTTTTCAAGAAAGTAGCAAATGTATGCGTGCTCACGGGTCTAAAATTATAGATTTATTATTTTATATTTTTCTACCTTTTTATCAATTTTATGTTTCAATAGAACTAATGCTCTCTCAAGCTTTGAATTTGAATTTTTGGAGGTGAAATCTTTTGAAGACGAGGATTGATTATTTGTAGTATTAAAGCACTTTTCTAAATATTATATTCCAAAATTTACAAAATCGGACTTGAAGTGTCCTTTACATGTTAGAGGACGTGTGCAAAATCAAAACACAAAAAACTTAGGACTGACCACATGCTATGTTGACACGTGTGGAAGAATGTTTGAAAGTGACAATCTCATGTCAATATTTGAGAAAGAACATATAAAAGTAGGACATGTCACATATCCTAGATACTTGATCCAAGGAAGGTTGGTATTTGATTCATGTAGGATAAACATTAGGATCCCTTTAAACTCCTACGATTACATCAACTGCGAATAAGCAGTGAATTATAATGATAATATAGAGACAAGGAACATACCGTGCGACTGCAGCCATCATATGTACATCTAAAACTCCTTGAAATTGATCGAAATCTGATCCATTTGTGGTTGATGTCTCCTTACCTAACAAATAAGCAACAAATCATCGAGTCAATTCAAAAAATCACTCACCCTCTTTTGGTGAGCTGCATCAAACTGGTTTTTTCCATAAAAAAAACTACTGAAAGCATATATAAAATAGGATTTGCACTTTTTCTGCATTTTTCCTTCTCTATGTTTCATTTCTTTGTCAATCTTTCCTGTTCAGGAGAAGGGGCCATCTTATGGAGATATCTTTCTATTGAAGCTTACTCAATCTAATGATTGAAGTTGGTGGACAAAGCTTTTCTGAGCAAATACTAATCGACTTACTTTTACACCAGCCATGGATAAAAGTTTGTGAGAAGCAGCATAGACGGTTTCTGAATTATCCAACCTCTTTTCCACATAATAAATAACTTCCGAGACACCTGACTGCAAATATAACTGTTAATTTCTGGATAAAATGAAACCAGATCTATGGACAAAGAAGAAAGGTAAATCAATGAAAGTAAAATGTTACAGCCACCCCCAAGTACACTGAAAAAGGTGCATGAAGAAAAGTAAAGATACACACAAAGATGTCAATATATCTAATAATTTTGCAGGAACTTTGGATTATCTTGAAAAAAAAAAAACTTCGTGTTATTTCTGAGCTTTAGTGAGGCAGGTATTCATGAATGACAGGAAATGTAAGCTAAATATCCTCATTAATGATTTGGGAAGCATCCCGAAGTGCTCACAAAGTGCAAGTCTCCAATATAAATTATAATAATATTGAAATCAAATTACAACTACGTGTTCTTCTGCAGTTCCAAGCTAAGATAAATTAAATGCTTCAGCAGTATCTTAATATCTCTTCTATATACGAGAATGTTAGAACAAGTGTCCAGGGACCATATAATTTGCACAGACTAGAAGGTTGATTCTTTTTCTGCCTTCTGCGCATGTTATATGTTTGGTGAGTTCATCAACAAACTCTTTTGAGTTTTCTATCATTTCTTTCACTTCAATGTGTCTAGCAGATGCACGAGAAAGTTGATTCCCGAGATATAAAAAAAATTTCCAACACCAACTGCAATTAAGGTCAGGAGTTGTCAAGCATATAAACTTTCATAAACTTGGGATTTAATTTCAGATAATTGAATAACATATACGCAGATCGACTTTTTTCACCTGAACAATTATCTTTGCACATTCATTGCAAGGAAACATAGTAACATAAAGCCTCTGCAAATGTAATAGACATAAATAATTAGCAAAGGTAAACCAGAATCCAGAAACTAAGGAGGGGGGGGGGTGGCGTTTAATGTTTTTCAGAAGTTGGAAACTGACTTGTCCCGAAGCAGATGCATGATTTGTATTCAAGATAGCATTGACTTCAGCATGGCATACATAACTGCAAGCAACCAGTCGGGCATCAAATTGAGGCAATGAACAGGAAAAAAAAAGAAGAAAAATAGTTAAAATTTCCACTAATCAATTTTAACATCAAGTAACTTACGGGTACTTAGTCTCTAGGGGGTCCCCATTTTTGGATTTCTGAAATATCAAGGCATGGTTACAAATCAATTTTTAAATGCAATATTTTCCAAAAAAGATCCCACCAACCTTAGACCAGGGAAGCTTGTCATCTGAACAACCACGTGGGAACCCATTGTAGCCGATGCCTGGCTAGGACAATGGCACCAATACACCAAAATTTTATTAACTTTTAACTCATTGAGATTTATTTATTATCATCATATTTTTATTTTTGGGTTCTCAATAATCACAGAGCAAGCACATGCATGATTTCAGTGAACATATTTTCAAATTGTCATATATGTTTATTAAGCTGAGGGAAGATTAGTTTCAAATGCTATGCATATATTGAGAAACATAAGGCATTTCTGGGTTCATAATAGTGGTTTGGTAATTATAGCTTGGGTGATGGTGGAACAACCAAACACATAATAAAGTTCCTATCCACAACAAATCATATGTAAAAAGTACTTGCCCGAATTCATACATTAATGTCTTATGTAATACATATTATCAAGCACTATCATTGCTATTGAAAAATGCTACTGCAAAATAAGCTTGAAGAAGATTCTTTGAGATATAGCGAATCATCCACTCATAGAATTAAATAATACTTATTATTTGCAGGTAAATGATGGAAGGCTCACATTCTAATGCTTTAACCAATAAAGCACTGAAAAAGGGTTTGGTGCCAATGGATCTGATGGCTCAGAATGGTGAAGGGCCAGACGGTACCAGACTGAAGTTGCTCTAGACAAGATTTCTAGGAATTGTTAATGCCATAACAGAGAACCAAGTGAAATTTGATGGAATAATTCATGCTAAAAGTTTTGGTTCCCAATAAGTTTGCAATGACTGCATAGGGTGTACTAGCTCAAATACAGAAACCTACGTGAAATATGACATCAATGCCGCACTCAGTGAAGAACCCAGATTCAAGACTAAAGAACACTAGAGGACAGCAGCAATAGAAGTTGATGCCACATATATTAAGCTTTCATAACTGAACGGTCAAAATTGCCAAAAGCCAAGTCATAACACTTGCTTACCAGCATGGAATTGGGTTTGGAAAATGAAATTTATCTGAAATCAATTCAATTTTGAATAGTAAACATCCCTGACGCAGGATGCAATAGGAGAATACAGGAGAGGGAGAGGGGAGAGAAGAAGAGAAAGGAGGAAGGAAGAGGGGGAGAGGAAGAGAGAAATTGGGGAAGAAATTCAATTTATTTCATAATCAAAAGTTGATAATAACATTGCATAAGACCCCTTCATATAGGGTTTTGAAAGACCCAATTCTAAGTAAGAAAGTGCTATAAAGGGTAGTAAATCAAATACTAATACGCATTAAAATTGAGAGTAATGTTATTTGCAGTCGTTTACCGCCATATGTATGCCACGTAGGGAGATTGCGACAGTAAACAACTGCAAATAGCATTATTCTAAAATTGAAAACTAAATAAACATAATATCCCTTCTAATTCTCTCTCAATCCATCAAATGCAAATTAGCAGTATCTCTAGCAAGCAATCTTACCAAGAATGATGCCCTTTTGACTCACCAAACAAGCTCCAACCTACAAGGCAATCCGAATAAAGAAAAAGTAAAGCAAAAAATATATCTAATTCACAAAAAGATAAACTTGAGAAATTTAAATATACAAAACCAAGAATAAAAATTGCCGATCTCAGAATCTGCTTTGCCAACTAAGGTCAATAAAGGGACTGAAATCTACCAAAAACACTACAAAGCAAAACAAGGAGAAAGCAAATATTGAAGGATGATCAATTCTCTATTGATACTGTATGAATCCTAAAGCATTCTTTTGTTTTATATTCTGAAGCATGTCAGTAGTATAATACATTATTAGGTTTTCATTCCAACTCATCTCCTGTTCTCCGTGCCGCTGTCTTCTACTATTCCATAAGCCCAACCATGGACCAAAGAAAACCTAATCTTTTCAATAGACTCAGCCATTAGACATGCTTGTTTCACTGTAGAATCTCCAATTTGTTGCGCATAGGATTCACAATTCCATTTTCAGGTTATATTTTTCCTTTTGTTTCAAATGAATTGAAAAGGGTTATCCTGTCAGTGTCGTGTCATCGCTGTATCCGTATTAAGAAATTAAGAAAAAAGACATGTCATCTAACATGGCTAATATGTATGTGTCACACCCTGATGCTCCGGTTCTAGTGGCGTATCGATACTTCTTAGCTGATACATAAGTAAAAAAGCTTGATACCATAGAGCAGGCATTAAGCACTTTATTCCAATTGACTAGGACTGTCCGTACACAGAAGAACAAGCTAACAACTGGGATTTATACAGCCACACTATAAATAGGGTGTGCTTAACGTGACTTCCCCTTTCTGTCTTCGCAATTTATCTCCTACTTCAACAAAGTTCTTCTCTTGCATTTTTTTATGCCCTCAAACAACTCTATCTTAAAATTGCTGCCACCCACCGAAACAACTCTATCTTAACACAATGAAGTCCATCAGCGAAATAAAACAAGTCTATCACTGTCATGCTTGGGATTTGTGACATTTAAGGTTGTAAATACTTCAACATTACTGTAGATGGTCAACTTTTGCTTCTCCTCACGTGAACTCTCGCATCCCAAACCACGTAAAGGTATTCACAAGGTACCTCAGTCTTAAAAATACATGAAAACACTTACATTTAAGATCATTTTCCTTACCTGCCTGTTAGGATCCTTGGATCGTTCAGCGGATAGAAATGCAATAGCCATAAAATAATCATCCCATGACAAATATCTGCATTTTGACAGGAAATGAATATAACTGTTTTGCATCGAACTTCAATATATTCCATCTGAAGCAATAATAGCAAAAGAACTTCAGCAAGTACAACAAAGTCGGAAAAATATAATTACATGTACCTTGATTTGCTAATATTTCTTTAACCTTTATCACATCATATAAACATAGACTGGAAAGCAAATTATCACTATTGACTGAAAAATATAATTACTGTATAAGTAACTGACTGACCCTTTTCGTTTGGTGGGATCATACGGGTTCTGTGGAGAGGGTTTCCTCCCGTCAACGACGCCGTTTGCAGAGAAGCGCTTATTGCGGAAGTTGGAGCGGAAAAATCGGCGAAATGCGATAGCAGAAGCCGCCGCACCAAAAATTGTGGCAGTTGAAACCAGCACTATATCTCGAGAGTTCATCATTTGCAGCAATTGACCCCGTAGACACGCACTCACTGCGCGAGAGAGAAATTTGGCAGTGATGTGGGGGGAAATAAGAGGAGAAGTAGCGGGAAAAATGCTAAAGGGTCAGTGGGCTCATTTAACAGTGTTGGGCTAGTAGCATGGCCTTGTCAGATGGTTAATAGAAAATTGACAAAATTAGCACTACGGAGTCTGATATAATGTTTCCTATCATGCTCAATTTTTTTTTTTTTTTTTTTTTTTTTTGGGGGAAAAAGGTGGATCATAATCTATCTTGATTGAACATTAGAACCAATTTCTCTTATATTTCTTGATTATTTGAGAATAAAATTAAATTTACGTGCTGTTTTTCTATTAGGCAGGGGACCATTTATGAATTTCCTTGAAAGCCTTAGGGGGGAAATCGGGTCTTTTTATTGAATGGCATGGCAGGTAATGGTAATTTTATGGTGAATTTCTAACTGATTATGTTATGTATTCACATTTTATTCATTAACTTACTTATCATGTATTCATTGGTTTCAAAATCACGCTTTAAATATTTAACTATGTGTGCTTTAATGACCATTTCTGCCAATGGAAAATTTAAGGAAAATGGTTCACCCCTCTTGCTTGCGGACTTTTACGCTTAAAGCTTTCATTGACCTCGTGTGTATTCAAGTTTCAAAGGGTTATGAGCTCGCTTGTTTGTTTCTTTCATGTTTTCTTATTTAAATATATAAATTGAATTTTATTTAACTTAAGTCGGAGTTAATGGAAATGAAATAAGATTATTGTACCAATTTAAATCGCTTTAACGATTTTTCATTTTGAAATATGCGTTGCATAACAATCAAGCTGAAAATTTTTGGCGCGTGTAAAAATATAGTAATAAAATTCAATCAAATAAAGCACTAAGATCATAAATCCACCTTTATAATTAGGGTTGGGCAAATCTCCCGAACCGAACCCAAACCGAATTGAACTGAACCCGACGGTTCTTGTCAAATTAAATATCCGAACGGGTATCTGAATTGAAAATCGACGGGTACGGTTCGATTCTCGGTTCTAGACCAAGAACCGAAGAACCGAATAAGAACCGAATCTTTCTAATTTTTTTTTTATATTGAGTAAATTAAATTATTTTTATTTTTATTTTTTCTAAACAAATTAACAATTTCTAAATCCAAAATTTTGGCCCAATAATTTGTTTTATTTCTAGTTTTTTAATTTTTGGTTCAATTACCCATTGTATTGTTTCATTTCTTAACCCAACAAAATCCAATTCACTAAATAACCCTAAACACCTATACTAAAGTGCATAACGCTGTTTCGACTCTCGCACTCACTCTCACAGCCTTGTTAACATTCCAAAACCTATAAAATTGTCGGCCGACGTTGTTACCTCCGTCGACCGAAACTTTGATCGTAGCGATCATTTGAACAAGGTAGTCTACTAGTCTCTGACATTCTAAAACCATTGAATGCATCATTAGTTGTATATATATAATATTGTTATAAATGTTAAAAAATTTAATTATAGTACAGAACCGAACCGAACCCGAACGGTTCCATAATTATATTTGGACCCGACGGTAGAATCGAACCGAACCGACCTGCGCCCACGCCTATTTATAATCCTAATTCAATTCTCAATTAGAAATGATTATCTTTATTTTGGCATGTGTTGAATTTGGGTAAATAAAGCAATAGTAAAGTTGTTCAAAGTAATTCTCACGGTCTCGCGCGGTGGCAGTGACCTTTTTATCCCGCAATAGTGACAGTACCTAACGCTAATCTGTAATGAATTAAACCCAGAGAATGTGTAAATTATACATATTTACAAGTTCCATTTGTAGATTATAGGTTTAGATTATAGGCCCGTTTGACATAATTTTTATTTTTACTTTTACTTTTAATGTCTATATAAGAGCTTTGGAATAATCTATGTTAATTTTTGTTTGAAAACTAATTTTTTTTGTTAAAAAAAAAAAAGATTTATATCCTGAAAGTTGTTTTAGAAGAAGTCACATTAGATCAGCTTCCTTTAAAGCCATTTTAACTAGAAGAAACACTTTTATAGAATTAATCAAACGATTTCAAAAGATACTTTTGACTTTTCAAAAATCATGTTAAACAAACCTTATAATGATTATATCTGATAGTTTCTCCCAAATCTATTATACTAATAACAAGTAAATTATACATATTTACAAGTTCCATTGGTAGATTATAGGTTTAGATCATACGCCCGTTTGACATAATTTTTTCTTTTACTTTTACTGTCTATATAAGAGCTTTGGAATAAGCTATGTTAATTTTTGTTTGAAAATTAATTTAAAAAAAAAGCTTTATATTCTGAAAATTGTTTTAGAAGAAGTCACATTAGATCAGCTTCTTTTAAAACTATTTCTACTAGAAAAAGCACTTTTATAAAATTAATCAAACGAGTTCAAAAGATACTTTTGACTTTTCATAAATTATGTTAAACAAACCTTATAATGATTATATCTCATAGTTTCTCCCAAATCTATTATACTAATAACAAGTAAATTATACATATTTACAAGTTCCATTGGTAGATTATAGGTTTAGATCATAGGCCCGTTTGACATAATTTTTACTTTTACTTTTATTGTCTATATAAGAGCTTTGGAATAAGCTATATTAATTTTTGTCAAAAAACTAATTTAAAAAAAATGCTTTATATTCTAAAAGTTGTTTTAAAAGAAGCAAAATTAGATCAACTTCCTTTAAAGTTATTCTAACTAGAAAAAACACTCTAATAAAATTAATCAAACAGTTCAAAAATTACTTTTAACTTTTCACAAATCATGTCAAACAAACCTTATAATGATTATGTCTCATAGTTCCTCCCAAATCTATTATACTAATAACAAGTAATTGAAGAATTGTTCTCGAGTTCGTTCGAGGTCTAGTTGATTTACCACAAATGAATAATATTACTTTCGTTTTCCATTGCATTCTTTAAAGTATCATATACTACAAATTATCCAATATTAGCAATGTTCTTGTACAAGAATTATGTTCCACCAGCCAATGTAATGTGTGTTCAAAGTGAAATTCCTTTTACCAAACACTCAAATCAAAGTTTCTTTCTTTCTCCAAATCAAACAAACAACATAAAGTTTCCTTCGTCAGAAATCATCTCATAAGCTCCTTTAACTCCAAGCTTCTTTAAGTTCCTTCAACTCCAAGCTTCTATAAAGGAAACATTGTGTCCAACTAATTTTTTTTTTTTTTTTTTTTTGGGTGGTGTAAATACAAATTCCACACTTTTTATTTTGTTTAAAAGGGTGAGTATTTTATAGAAACAAATAACATGTATATAAATATTTGACCTATTTTATTAGCCAAGTCACAAATTTCATTAACAGGGTCAAGAACTTTATTGGCGAGTTCACAATTTTTGTGGCTTCTTTCAAATTCAAATAAGCATATAAGTTGGTCGATTAAATTGAAAAAATAAAGATATTATATATATATATACTAGGGATGGCAAAAATCCCCGCCCTGCAGCACCCCAACAGGTTGGTGGGGGGAAGGATTGTGAAGAGAAAAAAATTTAAAAAAAATAAATAAACAGGACAGCAAATAGGGTAAGTCGCTGCCCCCTGTCCCACGCCCTCCCTGCCCCGTCTAAGGCGGGCGACCCCGCCTCAAACCTGCTCGCTGCCATCACTAAAATTTACCTTTCAAATTGAAGTTAATGACCAATATGAAACGAAGTTATGAGTTGCACAACTCCGTTATTGAGCGCATCTATATATATATGTGTGTGTTCACATGCATGTGTGCACGCATGTTAACAAAGTTATAAGTTTTGTGATTTCGTTAAAATTTTACTTATTATATCCATATATACGTGTGTGTGCACACGTGTAAACAAAATTAAAAATTCTACTACATTAAATATTTATAAAACGCGTTTATACATTAATATATTTATTGACATCAACATATAGATGAGATGAAAATATCAGTATTGTTGTCCTCACGAATTGGGCTCTCCACGTGGCCAATCGATAGCTGATCCACGTAATCCTCCCTGCGCACAGTCAACGCACGATCAAATGCATACGGCCGGAACCAGCAGGGGTGGCAGCGGCCGCATACACTCCAACGGTCAAGTTAGCTTCTGGTGATCGGAACAATGTCAAGGTTGTGTAAAAAGGGTGGGGAGGAGAATATGTATTTACTTGTTATGGAGAGCTAAGTTGTAAGAGTTTCATTCCCTCCGCCTCTTGTCAAACTTTGGGTATTTATAGTTGAAGAGAACCGTTAAATATGGGACACGTGTATGCATCTAATGTTGTGAGACGTCTGCTCATAGGCGTTAATCGGTCGTGTCTATAGAGTGGGCGGGTAATAACTTCTCCTGAGTTGAGTTGACATAAAGTTGATACGTGACATCAACTAGGCCCATGGAGACATCAAATTAATTAAACCTTGGGGCAGAAAGGATCTTGACATGAATCTCCTTATAAAATTGGCGACGGATCCTCTGACAGAGATCCTTGGAATGCATTGCGCTTCGGCGTCAGACGCAAGAAGGCTTCGGTTCGTTCGGTAGAATTGTTTGTGCCTCGCAGCGCATTAGCAGCTCGCCAACATTAGTGGTGAAGTCACTTCGAAACCACTTCGGATGGATGTTGGACACCTCGTATGACGCAGTAGCAGACTTTTCGAAGTGGTTCAGATAGGGGCGTAACAGTGGTCCCCCCAAGTTCAGACATGAATATTTATATCATGGGTGGACTTGTTTTTCCGATCGGGTATGCCTACCTCGGGATAGGGCTACCGAGGTGATGACCCAGAGGGGACTCCACGTCAGGTGCGTCTAAGTTTTGTAAAGCTGAGTGAGGAGCTCATCTGCCACCGGTACGCTGACCCACAGGGGACGACGCGTTGGGAGATGGCTAAAGCTTTGTAAAGCTTAGGGGGCAACGCAGCTACTAAGGCGATGACCCACAGGGGACTCCGCGTCAGGTGCGTCTAAACTTTGTAAAGCTGAGTGAGAAGCTCATCTGCCACCAGTGTGCTGACCCACAGGGGATGACGCATTAT